TCTCTCTCTCTCTCTCTCTCTCTCTAATAACCGCATTAGACTGCATTAATAACTGCGTTAGCCTGCATATCAATGGCTCAAGCCTCTGTTATCAGCTCTAAAATGACGTTTTGGAATTTGCAACGGAAGGTTTGGGATGAGGTGCTTAAAAAAATTAGTTCAACCCACACGAGATTTCAGGACGGAAACATGTCAAATGTCTTGAAACAAATTATCTGAACAATGTCTTGATGTGTGGTTGTGACTCCAGGCCGTTAAAATTATTAGAGAAATAATGCACTCCCGGAGTTGGTTATGTGGCCACGACTATATGGTATGGTCTTTCTCAGTTCTCAAAGAAATTAAGAACTATTCGATTTTTATTGACTGAACGCAAGCGCTTATTCCGATAGAAAACACTGTATCGGTTTCCACTGATTAAGAAATATTTTTGTTTGCTTGGGTGGTAATATTAGGTCTATTATATTAATAGGGAAGGGGGCCCAAAAATGTGTTTTTTCTACGTCACGAAAATAGGTAAATCCGGCCCTGCCATCTAATGTGTGTTTTGGCCATGTAATGTTGCTGAAATTAAATATGTTATATATATATATAATATATATATTATTGATTTCATAAAATTGGTATCGAAAAAAGTATCGTTCAGGAACCGGTATCGAAGTCAAGGTATCGGTATCTAAAAATTTTGAACGATACCCAGCCCTAGTATTTGGTTTGTGCATATTTGGTTTTATAGGGTAATGCATAAACAGCGAAGAAATCAATTTTATGAATGTTCATGGTTTGCATGTGCTCTCACTTGATTTAATTGTGCCTGGAGTCTCTCGGCCTCCTCATCTGTGAGTTCTTTGATTCGGGGCTCCTCTGTGTCCTGCTTCCTCTTCTTCTCCTCTTCCTTCAGTTTAGCAGCTCTGTCAGCCTTCTCCTTCTTCTCCTTCTCTTGTCTGGACTCTTTCTCTTTCTGGACTTTGAGGGCGAGCTGATTGTGACGAGCAAACACCTCTTTAACCAGCTACAGGACAAATAAAAGGGAATGCAGATCAATCATTGATTGGTGCTCAATATGTGCTGAATTTAAATTTAAAAAAATTAAATTGAATGACAAAAAAATCATTTTGAAAAATATTTGAGATAAATTTCAAAGTGTTTTTAAAATGTATTGTGGCTTTAGAAAACCTACAGAGTTGTATGGACTACTGTTATGCAGCATCCTTTGACTTTTATGGAGCTTGGTAGCCTGAATCACAACTGATTTTAATTCTGTGGAAAAGAGCCAATTTTACAACATACAGGTCTGCAAGGACTGAATGATTTATATACACTACGAGTCAACAGTTTGTGGTCGGCAAGATTAAAAAAATACAATAAAAATTTTTTTTGAAAGGGGTCTCTTATGTTCATTGTTCACCAAAGCTTAATTTATTAATATTTTGAAATAATATTACAATTTAATACAATAATTTTTCTACAATAATATATATTCAAATGTAATCAAAGCTGTATTTTCAGCATCACTGCTCCAGTCTTCAGTGTCACATGATCCTTCAGTCTAATATGCTGGTTTCTGCTCAAGAAATATTTCTTATAATTATCGATGCTGAAAAAAGTTTTGCTGCTTTACATTTTTGTGGAAACAGTGATTCCTGTTTTTTTTCAGGATTCTTTGATGAAATAGAAAGTGTAAAAGAACAGCATTCATTTGAAATAGTAATCTTTTGTAACATTATAAATGTCTTTACTGTCACTTTTGATCAATGTAATGTGTCCTCACTGAATATTTACATTTTAATTCAAAGAAATATATCTTATTAGCTATATCTTACTAGTAGTGCATCATACATTTATATAAAATATTAAATAGTTTTTCCATGTTGATGGCAGAATATTTGAACTGTTGGGTGAACTATTCCTCTAAGATAATAAATATATATACAGAATAATTCTCAAATATTTCTGAAATATAAAGAAAGGCGACATCAAAATCCAAACCTTCTCTGGGGCTCCAGGCTCTCCTCCCGTGAAGAAAAAAATACAAAATTTTTTTTGAAAGGGGTCTCTTATGTTCATTGTTCACCAAAGCTTAATTTATTAATATTTTGAAATAATATTACAATTTAATACAATAATTTTTCTACAATAATATATATTCAAATGTAATCAAAGCAAATTCAGCATCATTGCTCCAGTCTTCAGTGTCATATGATCCTTCAGTCTAATATGCTGGTTTCTGCTCAAGAAATATTTCTTATAATTATCGATGCTGAAAAAAGTTTTGCTGCTTTACATTTTTGTGGAAACAGTGATTCCTTTTTTTTTTCAGGATTCTTTGATGAAATAGAAAGTGTAAAAGAACAGCATTCATTTGAAATAGTAATCTTTTGTAACATTATAAATGTCTTTACTGTCACTTTTGATCAATGTAATGTGTCCTCACTGAATATTTACATTTTAATTCAAAGAAATATATCTTATTAGCTATATCTTACTAGTAGTGCATCATACATTTATATAAAATATTAAATAGTTTTTCCATGTTGATGGCAGAATATTTGAACTGTTGGGTGAACTATTCCTCTAAGATAATAAATATATATACAGAATAATTCTCAAATATTTCTGAAATATAAAGAAAGGCGACATCAAAATCCAAACCTTCTCTGGGGCTCCAGGCTCTCCTCCCGTGAAGAAATCTGTTTTCCTTCTTAGAAAACTGAATAATGTGTTCACCAGCTGTTAATAATAATAATAATAATGAAGAATAAATGAGATGCCAAGAGTCATAGAAGGTACATCACAACAAATAATCACTAACTTCTCACAGGAATCGCGTATTATCATAGGTTGGATCTTAATCATCAGACACAGAGCAAAACACGTTACACAGGCCAAAACCTAGTGAGCTGCATAACACAGACAACATTTTAACAAGCAAAAAAACCAAAACAAATGCTGTCCAGGTAACGTTAGGCTGCTCACTAGGTTTTATAACAGAACCTTGAATCTCCACATTAGCATAACCATATATAGATAGATGTATGAGAATAACACTCTAGTACCTAATATAACTCCTGCATATATAAACAATAAATGATAACAGCGTATTAATGTGCTGTCCTGCCAAGCCAACACTAACAAACAGTCAAGTCCTCTTTTATTAATAACGTAAATATGTTTTTATATTATAGCAAGTCATCATGCATCAGTTAGCTCGGCTGCTAGCATGTGTTGACATGTTACCTCCTGCACTCCTCCTTCATGCTGCTGCGCCATGGCCAGCAACATCCCATCGTATTGCTCCTCATCATCTCCCATTTTCAATATTTACTGCAGATTACAGACGATAAAAACTATAATTTGGTGCGTGAAGCTAACAGCCGCGCTATCACCGGTGTGACGCCTAGATACTTCCTAGATACAAGGACCGCCCACGTTTTCTTTAGAACCAATCAGATCGCAGACATTTGAAGGACAAACGCACGAACCAATCAGCTGGCAGCTTCGGTAACCGATGAGGCAAGACGAGCGTCTAGAGCAGAACTTTCTAGAGACCCTGATACACATGTACATATATTTTTAGATATTATCTTTATATTACGTTTAAGAAATGCTCTTGCCAACAAAAAAATAAATAAATAAATAAATACACAATAACACAAGAACTAGACTACAAATACAAGGGCATCAGTATCATAGCCTATAGGCTACAGTAGCCAACAAGATCAAATGAAAAAAATAAAATACAAATAAATAAAGTAGTAAAGCTGCCAAAGGATTAATCATGATTAATCGCATCCAAAATAAAAGTTTTTTGTTTACATAATATATATGTGTGAACTGTGTGTGTGAAGAGTTCATTTGCAAAGACAGATAACTCCGTTTTTAACAATTTTCAAAAATCATGTTTTTTCATTGTGCATTCCAATTAATCTCAATCAAGCTGCAGTTGGGTTATTTTGATTAGGTTAAAAAATAACTAAAAAATACAGCTAACTAACACAATAAAACACTACACACACACACACACACTCACTCACACACACCCACACACACACACACTCACACACACACGCACACACACACGATCAAATGAAAAAAATAAAATACAAATAAATAAAGTAGTAAAGCTGCCAAAGGATTAATCATGATTAATCGCATCCAAAATAAAAGTTTTTTGTTTACATAATATATATGTGTGAACTGTGTGTGTGAAGAGTTCATTTGCAAAGACAGATAACTCCGTTTTTAACAATTTTCAAAAATCATGTTTTTTCATTGTGCATTCCAATTAATCTCAATCAAGCTGCAGTTGGGTTATTTTGATTAGGTTAAAAAATAACTAAAAAATACAGCTAACTAACACAATAAAACACTACACACACACACACACACTCACTCACACACACCCATACACTCACACACACACACACACTCACTCACACACTCACACACACACTCACACACTTTTTTTTTTAACAAAACACTTACTGTTGTTGTGTTTATTCTGACATTATTTGCTTGAATATAGATTTAACATCTCCTTATTCGGCTTGCCTGCTTCTGAACACAAATGCTGCTTAATATGATAATAATTTGAGGTGAATGACCCAGAGCGCAACCTGTGAGTAAGATAACAAATCACTGGGTCTGTTATCTCAGACTCTCAAAAGGTTTTCGCGACTCGTATAATACACGCTGAAATAATAATTACAGTTTTTTACGATTGCTTAAGCACAATTTTGAAAACAGGGCCCAGTTTGTCAAAACACGTACTGTACTGTAGCCACTACTAATGAATAATAAACAGTGATATAAACCTCCAAGAAAAAGAAAAGCAAAATACTTTTATCTGTTATGATTATATTATCAGTCCTGATGCAGTGACATACTGAACTTTTGGCCCAAACTCAAGCCCAAAGCCAAGATAATATGACTCTATTAGTCCTTGGTGACTTGGTACAGACTGAGTTAATGACAGCTGAGCGTGATAAATGTCATTAACCCCTACTTACCGTCCTTACCGAACCTTACCGTCTCCACGTGGAGGAAACCTTTTGCTTGAAAGTGAATGGTCTGGTCCAGGTCAGAAGGGTCAAGGCTGAAGATTAGTCACATATTACATGAGCAGCTGCTATAAATACGCCTGGAAGGACAGTCACAATGACAACAGCTTCACATCAGAGGAAAATGAAACAGTACTTCAGCGACCGGCATCCTCGTGGAATTCTCTTCAGCATCCTAAGCCGTGAATGTGACTTTGCGCGCTTCGCTTATCCAGACACATGCCGCAGCTGTCATTGTAAGCGTTTGGTGTGCTTGAGAAACCCCGAGACCACCTGCCGTGTGGCTTTTGGGGTCCTGATAAAAACCGTTCACTTCATGAAGAGCTTACCTTCCTTCCAAAACCTGGCGCTCAGGGACTGGCTTGTACTTGTTGAGAAGCGCTGGGTGCCGCTCTTCCTCCTGGGTCTCGCTCAGGAGCACGTCTCTTTCGAGGTGAGGGTCGTCCCTGCGGCCAGCATCCTTAGAACCATACTGATGAACGGGCGGCAGAAACCAGACGACTGTCCACCCACCCTGGCAGAGGTGCACAAGCTCAAGACGTTCCTAAACAACGTCTGGAGTCTGGATCTGAGTCTCAAAGAGTATTCATGTCTCAAAAGTGCAGTACTGTTCAGCCAAGGTGAGTTTTAAAAATAAATGCATGAACGTGGCAAAAAGTGTGCTTAATTGTATTGAATGTGCACTTGTTGTGGGCTTCAAATCTAAAAAAAAAAAAAAAAAAAAAAAGTGTATAAAACTGCACTTATAGAAAATTTAATATTAATGAAGTAAAAGGCCACTTAAGTGAGAGTTAAAAGAGAGTTCACTTTCATGGATAATGCTACCTAACACACTTAAATACACTTTTAAAAAGTGCACTTTATAATCATGTTGAATGAAAAGTTTTACCTTAAAGTACATTTTATATCACATTAATAATCATGTGTTGCATTTTAAATACGTACACTTATGACTAACATACAAAAGCACATGAGTTACTTCATTATAATTGTAACTGTATGTTATTCAATATGGTGTCATTTTATTTAATGTATATTTATATATGTTATACTGTATTTATTATATATACAGTTAATATATTTTACATGTAAATTGCAACTTACAATTACAAACATTACAAATTACTTGGCATACAAGTTTCAATATGAGATCAGTCGTTTTAGTTTATCATTAATGTATGTAATTTACGTAAATGAACATGAAGTACAAAGAGTGATATTTTTACCACCTGCAAGTAACTTTTGTGCATGCATTTGTAAGCATAATTTAATCAAATAGATAACACATTTTAAAAATGAGCAATGTAAGGTATACATCATTTAGCTATTCATCTTTGTTAATGTTAGTTAATAAAAATACAGTTGTTCAACGTACATTCATAATAGTTCAGAGTCATATCAATGAGGAAATGTGATGTTATAATCCTCCCCGTTATAATGATGCTAAGTTTATTTTTAAACATGCAGGTGAAGGTTCAGATGATAAATACACTCTCGTTTAGCTGCACTATGTAACTGTGGCCCTTAATAAAAAAATACACTGCATAAATCTTGCGGAAGAACATTGTTTTGGTCGTGCTTCGGTTCTGCTGCGGATGAATGTGGTTCGAGGAACACCGGATAAATCTTATCACAGCGGATGGGCAAATAAATTATGATTTTTGTTGGTTTCTACAACCGTGATTCCCCGGTGGTTGGTTTACCGTTGTGAATGATCCATGGATGGCCATTTTTTTCAGTTTCAGCTTGTAACAAACTTTTAAACGCTACCCACAGCTTGAACTAGGCTACTTCTCTGTTTATGAAGTGACAATAGCGATTTCCCTTGAAATCCGTCCCGACGTTATTGTGGATTTATCAAATAATTACCTTTTTTTTTTGGCACCTCACATTCTTAATAACCTATTATTTAGTTCTTATATATCAAAACAGTTAGTATAGCTTTAATAAGCATTGACCTGATCATATTCATATATCATAAATCATATTAAACAGTTATAAAATTATTTTTTCTTTTTTTTTGTCATGTAAATACTTTACATTTATACTCAGAGACTTAGCTATAGGCCTAACCCTACTTTCACTGGATAGTAATTTCATCCCTGCATCTAATTTAAATTAAAAACTGATTTTACAATGCACCCCAGTCCTGATATGAACAAAGCATCACACACAAATACAAACAGAACAAACTGTATTCGAGTAGGCTATATGTCACTGTGTTGCACACAAAAATGTCTGAAAGTATTTACATTAGAAACAAAACATCAAGTGGCGTTAATTTGAAAAGAACATAGTACACCTTTCAAGCAAAACATTTAATTACATTTGAAATTATACAAAAATAGATTCAAAATGAAGCAACACTCTGTTTACAGTGTCCATGTTCATAATGGTTACTCTGCTGTATATAATCTGTTATAAACATGTCATGTGTAGGTTTCTGTATTCTGGTTTTCTTCACGTTATATAATGTAATGTTTGAGATGTGGAAGTGATGGTGATGACAGATTCATAATGGTTACTCTGCTGTATATAATCTGTTATAAACATGTCATGTGCAGTGCGGTTTCTGTATTCTGGTTTTCTTCACGTTATATAATGTAATGTTTGAGATGTGGAAGTGATGGTGATGACAGAGTGTTATTGTGTGTAATTCTGTGTTGTGTCAGATGCTCCTGGACTGAGGAGCTCAGCAGGGATGGCAGGACTGCGTGAGGAGGAGGCACAGAGCTCTGCACATGCGGACTCTCTCCCATCCTCACCGCACATTCACGGACATGCTGTTCATGGCCAGCGCTCTACAGATGGAGGCCCAAAGCCTAGTGACAGAGCTGTTCTTCAGACCGATCGCTGGCCAGATGGATCTCCACAAACTCCTCCGTGAGATGATTGTCAAACAATGAACTGCTGCAGGAACGAGTCCTAAAACCCGTGAATGAGTTCGTATTTTTGAACTTTCGGTTCCATCATTTCAAAGTCGGTATGTTTTTTTTTAAAAGCCAGCTGTTTTTTTTAAATCAAACTTTTTTGTTGTTGTAGATTTGAAATAAAGTCTTGAAGAGGGGTCAGAAGCTCAGTGATGGTGATGTTGAAGTCATGTGACCGTGGTGTAGTTCGTTTATAGCCTACATTTAGCTTTTTACTTAAAGGGATAGTAAGACCTCCGTTCATCTTCGGAACACAAATTAAGATATTTTTGATGCATTCCGAGAGCTTTCTGACCCTCCCATAGACAGCAATGTAAGTAACACGATCAAGGCTCAGAAACGTAGCAAGGACTTCGTTAGAATAATCCATGTGACATCAGGGGTTCAACCGTAATTTTACGAAGCTACGAGAATACTTTTTGTGCGCAAACAAAACAAAAATAATGACTTTATTCAACAATTCATCTCCTCCACGTCACCCGAGCGCCATTTTGGAGTGTATCACATATGTAAACAAGGTATGCAACGCATGTAAACAAATTCATTGTTTACGTTCAGATCAAAACGTAAACAACGTATCCGCGTACATACGTTGCATACCTTGGTTACATATGTGACACTCTTCAAAATGGCGCTAAGGTGAAGACGAATTGTAGAATAAAGTCATTATTTTTGTTTTCTTTGCGTACAAAAAGTATTCTCGTAGCTTCGTAAAATTAAAATCTGATGAGGAAACATTTTTGATGCCCTGAGGCTGAGGACAGTTTCAGCAAAAAATTTCAATTTTTGTGTGAACTGTTCCTTTAAAAGACCTGTGAAAGTTGTGTGATGACGCAGTGCAGCAGCTCCTCTGTTGAGCACCGATATGAAGGCAGTGTTGTTATTCCCCATCTGTGCCAAGAGCTTGCCAAACCTGTTGAGTTTGTTTGCTGTTGTCAGAGCTCTGTTTTATATGAGCAGACATATAAAATCATGTCTTCAGGCGTATGGTACTGCACAAACACACCATAATTCAACTAATAAAATGTTCCTTATACGTCTTATATTATTCATGTACACAATTTTCCTCAGCTACGTGTACAAATAAACAAAGAAAGCATCATATGTCTCAGTATTTCCCCTCAGGTATGACAAGCTTGAGTTTCGATGCTACCTGAACCATGTGGAGTAGATGAATCATACACCTGATGATTCATAGAGACATCCTGGATGTAGAAACGTTTGACAAACACACAAATTACCCTGTATTCCCCTGCAAAACCCCCTGAGGAGGCTTCATTAAACAAGGGTGGATTGTTGTTAAACTGATACAGCAGCGACATTACATACACTGTAAGCCAATGAGAGTATTACGCTTAATCACTTCTAGACTTTTTTGATATTGAACAAATGACAGACGGAAACAGACAGATTTATAAATGATTGACTCACACAGAACAAGATTAAATTACAACCAACTATTACTGTGGTCTAAACAGACAGATCCGTAAGCCACTGACTGCAAAGGTTGCGTAAGGTCATGTTGCTGTGGTTTATGGACCGGTGTATGTAGGTTAAGAGTCAAGGTTGTGGTGAAAGCGCTATAAACACTGCTCTGGTCTGTATAGGTTAGATTTAAAGGCTACCTATGATTAGTGCACATATCAAGAGACAGTTGTGAATATAAATGTCAAAAACACAAGTTACACTCTTAAAAATAAAGGCTCCAAAGGGGGGGTTTCACAGCGATGCAATAGAAGAACCTTTCGGTTCTAAAAAGAATCATCACTCTTATTGTGTAGAGCATTTTAAGAATCCAAAGAACCTTTTTCCAACCTATAAATGTCAAAAACACCAGTTACACTCTTAAAAATAAAGGCTCCAAAGGGGGGGGGTTTCACAGCGATGCAATAGAAGAACCTTTCGGTTCTAAAAAGAATCATCACTCTTATTGTGTAGAGCATTTTAAGAATCCAAAGAACCTTTTTCCAACTCTAAATGCAATGTTCCATGGGTGTTAAAGGTTCTTCATGGAACCATTCATCAGTGCCAATAAAGCAGCTTTATTTTTAAGAGTGTAGTATAGTCATAATGGCGAAATATATATGAACTCAAGAAGTTGCATATATCATAATGCCTTTGCAAATAATACACCAGCTGTCTGTGCGTTTATGATAAATTCATAGATAAATCACACACAAAAGCTGGATGACGTATTAAAACAACTCTTCTGACACCCTGACTGAAAGTTTAAGTATGAATAGGCTTCTTGCAGTAAACCGATATTGCACATAGTGCATATAACTCATCCAAAACCCATTTTTCCATACATCACTAAATGCCTGCGGGACTACAAATCCATTTGATCACAGGCAGTGTGCTTCGTAAGTGTTGTTCAAACATGACACTTTCACTGCATTTAACCTTAAGGCAGAAACTTAAAGTCTATGAATCAAAAAAGTGTCAAATGTGAAACAAAGGATCAGTTTCAAGTGTTTGTTGAACCACATATTCCTCTGCCCTTTCTCCTTAAACAAATATCACTTTCTGCTCAACGATTTCCTGGTATTCTCTGGAGGTTTTATGGTTTCGATATACGAAGCACGCTGTTTTGCAGATTAACTCAAGTGCTTACACTACGTTTACATGCAACCAAATAATCAACCCGATCTCATGAAAGTGCGTATAAATAGTACGCCAAATAAAAACGAAAACTAGTGGTATTGATACGCAAAAATGGACTTTGGCGTGTATATGCTACGCGATGGGTAGGTTTAGGGTTGTTCCTGGTATTCTCTGGAGGTTTTATGGTTTCGATATACAAAGCACGCTGTATTGCAGATTAACTCAAGCGCTTACACTACGTTTACATGCAACCAAATAATCAACTCGATCTCATGAAAGTGCGTATAAATAGTACGCCAAATAAAAACGAAAACTAGTGGTACTGATACGCAAAAATGGACTTTGGCGTGTATATGCTACGCGATGGGTAGGTTTAGGGTTGTGATTGAAAGGGGTGGTTTATTCCTTTTCTAATACGATTGAGGGTGCATGTAAACACTAGATCGGATTGAACCCCGAAACTGAAAGGACTGCGCATGTGCAATGATGCAGAAATAGCGTAATGATTGATGTATGACGCGCGGAAGTGTTGTATAAATGCGTGTCCTGTCATAAAGCTCTCCTTTCACTCGGCAACTGTGAAGTGGAGCAGGACAACCTCCCACCAGTCCTTGTTTTGGATACTCATCCACAGG